ACGGATTTTCCCTTTATTATTCTATTTTACATTTTTCTTTTATTATAGAAACTAAAAAATAATTAAAAATAAAATACCTCTCTCTCTCTCTCTCTCTCTCTCTCTCGACAGACTTTTTTTTGGGTCTGTGTTCATTTCTCACCGGAAAACATAAATTCTCCATCCCCTTCACATGGTTGCTCCAATCAACTCTACCATACAACAAATCACCACCGTAAACCATTGTTGTTTACTCCCCTTCTCCAACTAGGATGCATCAAACTCCCACCTCGTCTCATCCTCACCTCATCTTCTTCAAGACCAATCCAGAAAAATTGCACCCTTCTCCTTCTATTTACTTTATCTTGCCGGAAAAAATGCTCAATGGGATGTAATTGGTTCGCAACACCGCTGGAAAACATACTCGATGGGATGCATCTGGATCTACAAAATCCGACACCAAAAACCTAATCATTAGGCAGTGAAAACCTAACCCTAAAAGCTTAAGGCGGCGGCGGCGAAGCTGGAAACTCAAGCGACAAACTTTAGAGTTCAGCGAGATCGTTATCTTCGTTCATTAGGTTGATTTGGACTCCGATGCTACTAGAAACTTGAGACCCAGACGGAGGCTACCACCATCGTCTTCATCATTTGGGACCACATTCACAGCACCGACGTTTAATAGTTAACCCTTGCTCCAATCTTTGATCTCGCTGCCTCCGTCCAGATCTGTAAACGTTATTGTCTTCACAATATCTCCGATCTAGGGTTTTAGTTTTCCAAGGGTGGGTCTAAGACCGATCTGAAAAATCGGACGACCACCATAGTTGTCAGCCTAAAAAACCTTAGTTCAGGCAACGTGTAGATGACATGAAGATCTGGAAGCTCTTGCTTTTTCTTTAAACAACAGATAGATTAAAGATAATGTTGCTCCGGCAAGTGTTGTGTGTTCAATCAGGTTTGTGTGTTGGGTCTTGTATATCAGATTTTTGGTTTTGTATATCAGATCTTGAACATATGTATGTGTTTGGTCTCATCTGTGTTTAATCAATTCTAGATACATCAGAGTATGCGTGTACAATGAGTCATGTTCATATGTTTGTGTTCTTGTACATAAGATTTCTGGGGTTTTAATGTGTTCTTGTATGTTAGATTTCATGATTTCTGTTGTGTTCATCTGGAGAGACAAAGATTTGTGTATGTGTGTGGTGTTCATCGGAGCTAGATAAAGTTTCCGACGACTAAAGTTTCCGACGATTAGGTTTACAAAGGAAGAATCAGTGTCGGCGGGGGCGGCGGTTGTGGTGGCCGGTGTTGGTGGCAACGATGACGTTAACCAGTGGTGGTGGTCTGTTGCATTGAGAGAGGGAGAGAGAGGTAGGGGTTAAATTTTCTTTTTTTTTATTTCTTTAATAATAAATGTAGTTAAATAAATAAATAAAACTGAAAAAAAAACAAAAAGTAAGGGCAAAAGCGTCATTATAAAAAAGTTAAGCAAATTGGACCAAATTCGCAACAAAATAAAAAGTTTGGACCTGTGGTGCTAGTCCAAACCTTTTTGGACTAAAGTGACAATTTTCAGCTAACCACAAGGACCATTTGTGCAGTTTTGTCTTTTCTTTATAAAATCATATTTATACAAAAAAAAAGTATTTTCACATAAAAAATCTTATATTTTCTATATAAAAACTTTTTTTAAAAAGTTTTTTGTATATGAAATATCTAGTTATAAAAATGTGTATTTATTAAGTATATAAATATATACAAATCCGTTTTTATAAAAAAAATGTATACAAAAACGTATTTTACAAAAAAAAAATGTATACAAACATCTATTTTATCTATATATTTTTTTATATAAATCGTAGGTGTGTATCTATCGTTTTTTTATAAAAACGTGTTTGAATATATTTTTTATATAATACGTGTTTGTATTACATTTTATAAAATCATATACAAACAAGATTTTATAAAATAGTATACAAACACGTATTATATAAAAAAATTATGTCAAATCACGTTTTTATAAAATGTATAAATATGATTTTATAAAGCAAAAAACATATTAGAAACAGTTCTTTGAAAAAAAAAGTTGTAAAAAAACTAAAGTTATGATGAATTCTTAATAAAATTCTAAAATTTGGTTAAAAGGGTAAAATTTGGACCAAATTTGTAACAAAATTTAAAATCTGGGCCAAAAGTGTAATTTTTGGACCAAATTTGTAATAAATTTTGAAATCTGGGCCAAAAATATAATTTTTGAAAGTTGGATGACATGTTGACCGGTCAAATGGTTAAATTGAATACGATTACCGATATTTGGGACTTAATTGAATAAAAAAAATATATAGGGACTAAATCGATTATGATGCCAATATGTAGGGACTTTATTGCAGTTTTCCCCTACTTTAATAATCAAATCACTTTTTTTTTTTTCCTCGGTGTAGTAATTTGCAACATCCTTACTAACTTTATGACGTGATTGCAAATTAACCTTACATTCAATGCACTAGTATGTCCAATAAAAGCTCCCTTTTAATAAATTCAAATTTAAATGATAGTTCACCTACAACAAACAAATTTAATAATATTTTTTTCCCCTTTTTGAGCATTGGCCTGGTCATGATTTATTAAGTTTCTAAACAGACTTTGGAGATTCATGCTTTTGATTTTTCACTATTCTTTAAAACACTAACATGATTATCCCAGTTTTCATTCAACGAATTAACCGATTAAAGGTAATGTGCAAGTGATTTAGATTTGTATGAAAAAAAAAATCATATGTGCGATTTAAGCCTATTTGGATACCTAAAACTTGTAAAAAAGCATCACATATCACAATGTCACTCTATAACTTCAATTACAAACTTGTTTTTAAGCCCATTTGGATACCTGAAACTTGAATAGTTCCCAAAGTTGGATTACATTCAAATAGTTCCCAAATATGAAAACTTGTTGTATGGTATGGATTAAAAATCACATTCCATACTTGTACCTCTAAAAAACCATATAACAATTTAAAGTAAGACAAAATTGCAAAAATGGTCCCTGTCGTATGCATTTTTTTGGGGTTTTAGTCCAAACCTCGACTTTTTTGGATTCGTGGTTCTTTTGGTCATGTTTGTATGTAGATTTGGTCCCTCGTAAAATTGAAATGACTGTAACGCCCTTATGATATATTTTTTTATGTTTTTTCTATTTAATTTAAATAAAAAAGAAAATAAATAATTAATTTGGCCTCTCTCTCTCTCTCTCTCTCTCTCTCTCTCGATCTCGACACGACGAAACCTTCTAACACATTACCATCTTCTTGTTGCCTTCACAATATCATCATCATCATCATTGTGTTCAAGCCACCCCACGATCAAGAAACATACATCTTTTCTGATAACAGATGATCTCATAAGAATATAAAATGCAAAAGGAAACAAAAATGATGAAAGGGAAAATGAAGTAAACAACACATTATCGGGTTCTTAGGCCGCCGTTTGGAGACCAGCTCACTGCAACTACTGAATCAGAAGAATAATCTTTATTTCCATTACCAACCGTTACTCTATCTTTAAGGAGAACATTTGGATTCAAATTAGAATGTTGCAAATTCAAATACCCATCCAGGTTATTAGAAACTATCGCCAACATCAAATCTTCCAATTCCATTCAATTGGGAACAAATTGGTACCTTTTGAAAAAGAGACAAGTGAATCCCTAATCAACAAAGTCGCTAGGAGATTATTTTGAGAAAAAAGAGGGGGTTATCCAGCTTCTTCCAAAAACCCTTGGATTGAGGATGATTAGATGGGAAACGATGACAAAGATTAGGGTTCTGAAAATCCTAAAAGTGGAGAAGATACCTTAGAGCAGAAGCATGTGATCGATGGTCGATGATGATGAAGGGAGTATCCATCTTCTTCCATGTTCTTTACCCTGGTTACCAAAGTGATTAATTTCTCGATGCAGTTACCCAAAATCAAACCTCCATTCTCCCATTCCCGGTTATTTGTATGCCATTGTTCTATGCGATTTTACCTCCATAAATAGATTAGATGAGAGAGAGGGGAAGGAGACGAGGATGTTGGTAAGAACTGGTGATTTTTACCTATAGAAATCTGGTGGGTTTGTATGCCGAGATATGGATGATTGGGGGTGTTTGGGATATCTTTTTACCTTCAAAAGTCCTTTTTGTAAAAGGACTTTTTACAAAAGATGTTTTTAAAAATGTGTTTGAATTAGCTTTTGAGAAGTAAAAGTCAAAAGTTGTTTTTAAAAAATGTTTGGTTTAACTTTTACATGTAAAATGATTAAAAAAGGTAATTGGGATTAGGGTAGTTGGGGGTATAAAAGTAATTTTAGTTTTAAGGGCTTCAAAAGTTACAAAAAGTCACGTTCCCGTCACTTTTCAAAATGCTCATTTTCCTTCTTTCTGAAAAGTTGCTTTTAAAAGATCTTTTCCCTTTGCCAAACATCTTTTGGTTCCTTTTTAACTTTTAGGAAAAAATAAATGCTAAAAGTTGGTTTAAAAGATAAAACAAACACCCCCTTGGTGGTGAAGACGAGTCCTCCAAGTCCAGAGAAGTGAAAAAAGAGGAGGAGGGAGGTAGCAACAACAAGTATCGGTGGTTGTTTGGCTTGCTTGTCATCGAGAAAGAATAATGAAACATGCCGGAACAGAGGGTAACAGCCTCCGTTTTCTGCGAGAGAGAGAGAGAGAGAGAGAGAGAGAGAGAGAGAGGTGGGCCTCTCTTTTTTTAATTATTAAAATAATTATTAGATTTAAAAAATTGAAAGAAAAATAAAAAATAAATACCCCAAGGGTATTACAGTCATTTCACTTTACCGATGACCAAAAACACAACGAAACTACCTCAAAAGGACCACAAATCCAAAAAAGTCGTGGTTTGGACTAAAACCTAAAAAAATGCATACCACAGGGACCATTTTTGCAATTTTGTCTTAAAGTAAATATAAAGATTATGCAAAACTAACGCCACAACATTGAAAGTTGAAACTTGTTTTGGTTTCTCCTAATTAAACTCATCATAACTATTAATTAACACCCCTCAGAAAGAAGCAATACAAAAGTAGATTAACACACAACAACAATCAAGGATTAAAGGGTCTTTTGTGCTTCTAGGTTGTATCTAGAACAGGGGCTTGAAAAATGTACAACACTAAATAAAACCATTAAATTCTTAATCACTAAAGTTAAAAACATCAAGTTCCTCCTTCCTTGATCTGCTTTTGGGTATAAAATTCTTGATGGGTTCTGACTCATCTAATATTGTCACCATTTTTGAGCTGCTTGACTTCCAGTTGCTCTTCATCTTTGACTTTTTGGGAGTTTCTTCCTTTGCCTCCTCAGAATTCCCTGGCATTACTAATTCCATTGTTGGGCTGCTTGACTTCCACTTGTCCTTCATCTTTGACTTTTTGGGAGTTTCTTCCTTTGACTCAGAATTCCCTGGCATTACTAATTCCATTGTTGGGCTGTTTGACTTCCACTTGTCCTTCATCTTTGACTTTTTGGGAGTTTCTTCCTTTGCCTCCTCAGAATTCCCTGGCATTACTAATTCCATTGTTGGGCTTCTTTTCAACTTTGACTTTTTGGGGGTTTCTTCCTTTGACTCGGAATTCCCCGGCATTACTAATTCTATTGTTAAGCTGCCTGATTTTCGGATGCTCTTCAAGTTTGACTTTGTAGGAATTTCCTCCTTTGACTCCAAATTCCCCGGCGTTAGGGATTCCGGCAGGTCCACTGGCGGCAGAGGTGGCGGCTTCTCATAAAATATGGCGGCATCAAGGGCGTAAATTTGTAGGGCAAGAGCTGAAATGGTTGAGATTTTAGCAGCAGCTGAAGGTGATGACCAATACCTCCATTCCTTTCTTAAGTACTCTGTTTTAATCATGTCCTCTAAGATAATAGTTGCTTCAACCATCTGAAAAAAACCCAATCAGGTTTCAAAGTAACTGTTAATGACAATTTATCAAAAATAAGGGCAAAACGGTAATTTTAACAAACTCACCTCATAAATTGATTTAGCTGATTTCAGAAACGCCCGCCAAATTCGTAGCCTGATGGGGTCTTTTCTTGAAGGTCTAAAAGCTTCATCCGGAAGAGCAGCTTCAATATCCAGTAAAATTATTTTAAGAAATTGAAGAATTTCATAAGCTTTCCCAGCTACTGTTGCTAAAGACAAGCGGTTATTTCCCATTATACCCCCATCAACTTCAGACAGGTTTTTTCCAATTATACCCTTGGCCTCACACTGATGAGCCGGCTCGTTAGTTGAAAATGTAGAGTGGCATGAAAAACAATGGTGTCGAGTAGGTCCCACTAATTCCAAGCAATCACACCGGAATATTTCCCCAAATTTCTTTTCCAATTCTGCCCTCGCATGAACCGATGACCTCAACTGAACTGCAACTTGACCAACACTGTGATCATCATCATTTAAATCATTTGATTTGTTTCTTTGCCATTTCTTAATGTTTTCTTTCAGTTGTTTCTCTTTTGCATCATCATCTTCCAGCCATTCAAGCAGAGCCTCAATTTCACCATCTGATTCATAGCAAACCCATGCACAAGAAGAAGAAGTTTCACACAGTTCACCTACACTGTGTGGGCCGGACATAAATACCCTTTCGGGCCTACCCAGAGCCCAATAAAGTCTTCCATCTGAATCCCGGCCCAAAAAGTTTTTTTGAAAATTGCAACAACCATCTGCACTCATGTGATTTTGAATCACAGTTGAACTCAAAGACTCATCACACAAAAACTGTACAAGGAAAACCCTCTGCAAAAAAAAAATAGCAACAAACTTTTATTTATTTATAAGAAAAATTTGAAAGTAGAATGTCTAAAATAGACAAACCTCTTTAACACCAAGTTCCCAATACTCCATCGACTCCATGGCATCTGCTAAATCCGCAAGTTCCTCTAAACCAATTCGAGTAAACTCTCTTTGACTTTTCTTCTTTGTGGGCCCATGATTTAAATGATGATGATCATCTTCACGTGACATGGTTTGACTTGTAATGAAAGAAATACAAGGAGGGCAATACCAACTTGCTTTTGGAACCCTTTGAAGAGGGGGATCTAAGCAGTAAGTATGATACTCTGCATCACATCGATCACATAAAAGCAAAATATGGTCATTTTCGTCTTTTCCACATACTCTGCAAATCCCATCTTCCCATGGTGCAATGAAAAGTGTGCTTGAAATTGTGTCTATGATCATCATGTTTAGCTCTTTTTTTGTTTCTTCAAACGGATTGTTGCCATAATCCATGGTTTTGCTCACCAATGTAAGTACCTGGATCATGAAAAGGATAAAATATTATCCTATTTTTCTGCATTTAACCCTAAAAAATTCAACTAAACTAACCTCTTGTTTGTATAGTTCTTCAAGCTTTCTTGAAATTGTTTCTATGGAGTCAATGTACTTGGGTTTGTTCCTGTATGTTATTCGTAAGTTTTCCCAAACCTGTCAAAAGATGACAAAATGTCAGATTTAGCCCACATTTTTCTCCATATGCAAAAACTTTACGATCAAAATAACAAAGTAAGGGTAGTTTGGGAATACCTCACGAACATCCTCGATGAAAGATTGATGGGAATGATCATAGAAGCCTGCATCCAATCTGAGGTCAATTGTTCTAAAATCCAAACGACGTGCAACTGTGACAACATCATCAAATTCATTTGGTTTCATGAAACCAAAAAAAGCTTTGTTTTCATCTTCAGCAGCAACAGCACGTAGCACCATACGACACCTTTTTATGATCACATCAGATACTGTCCTCACAACTCGGCTTTCTTTGACTTTCTTCTTGGTCAATGGAGTTTCATCTCTCACTTTATCAAGAACCGATACAACAATTTTCTGTTTCATTTCAACTCCATTGAAGAAAACTCAGTTTACAGAAAATAAACAAAAGGGATGAAATTTGTCAGTTTAAAAAGCACAAACCTTTGTGGGTCCCGATGCATTACCCTTGTAGACATCTTTACTTATGGATCTTAACAGCATCTCTTTCGCCCATTCTGGTGGATCTTTTTCTAATGATTTGAAAACACGGTTTCTTATTCTTGCTCCCACGTTTGTAGGTTGTCTTCTTATAGGTTCTAGAACCTTTATCCACTCTGGACATTTGTTGTCAATTCTTTTTGTCTCCTTGACAGAGTCATTGACATCAAGATCGTTGTCAATGATGAAGTCACCAATTTTACTCTTCACAGAAGAAAATATTTTCTTCGAGGCCTCTGCTAGAATCTGAAAACAACATAAACTCGATCTCAATCTGTAAGAGTTATAAACACAAACAAACAAACAAGGGGTATATAAGTAATGTCACTCTACCATTGCATCAGCCTCGATAACAGCCATTCCTGTAAGAGAACCACAAAGTGGGCCCCCATCACCATTCAAGCAATGGAAAACTTGATCAAACTCACGGTTTGTGAGATCCGGAGCTTCATAATTATCATCCATGGATAACAGAACCAAAATGTATCTCCTGGCTACCTCTGGCCAAGTAATTTCATTAATAGGAAATATACCAGGATTGCCCTTTTTGCTAGAAACTGTTATGTCCATGTTTTTCTTCCTCCCTTTTCTTGACTTGGATTCCATGGCACCAAATGGATCATATATTGTAACTTTTGATAGTATATCTTCCACTAGCACCTTCAGCATTGTCATATGAAAGTTTGAGAGCATCATGCCTGTATCAGGGGCAATTCTGGAACATGAGGTGAGACTATTTGGTTGGTTAAACCCATCAACCCATGGATCCAGTAGCTCCTTTTCAAGATTTTGTCTAGAGAGAGGTGCATCTTGTCCAAGAACTTTATGAAACTGCAAGCAGAACTCATAGACCTGAAAAGAAAAAATAAAGGATGAAACTTTCAAGAAATTGAAAATAATACACCAAAAGCAAATATTCAGTTACCTGTAGAACATCCCCAATTAAATATGGAGGAAGGTTAGAAGTAATTGTATTGCCAGGTGGGCTGAGTCTTTTACAGGTTTCTGTGAGACTATCTGATATCATTCTCTGTGTATGTAAAACCGAAAAAAATCCACTTCCAACAGTTCGTGCAATCGAATTTTGACATCTGGCATCCAAATATTTATATTCTGAACAAGCACCAACTCCAGGAAGCTGTTGTATGAGTTCTTGTACAAACTCTGCATCCAAACCAAATCTATCCATTTCCAACCATCTCCGTATCACCATACAAGAAGCTTCAAGTTGCTCTGTGGTCAAAATCAAGTCCGGGATGCGGTCAACAGAACCACTAGTCAAAGTCAAACAACCAAATTTGTCCAACGAATCAACACCATATGAACCATAAAACTGTTGCCTGTTATCATTATGGTTACAGTGAAAGCTTACAACACTCAGATCTTGAAAGGCATGATGGCTTGCACAAATTAGGGTTTCCAACACCATCTTCCATGCAGATGATGTGGATCTTCCTTCAACCATAAATTCACCAATAACATCACCATTGATGAAGCTATTATCAGAAGGTGTATCATGCAGAGCTTCTGAGCTTGCTATCTCATTCTCATCTGATTTAGGCTTTTTGTAGATTACTGTTGAAGCATTGGGGAGTGATTGCTTTGAGCATGGATGACGATTTACTCTAAAGATTGGGCCAAAATCATCACCTTCTAGAACATTACATACAAAAATGGAGCCTGTAAGCTTATCATGCCAGATGGATTTGTAACCAATTGGCCAGATTTGATGAGTGTTGTGGAATGGACGCCTTGGGTTGACTTTTCCAACTGATATAACAAACAAGTCTTCAAATTGAACTGGAAATGATACTGAATGATCTGATCCATTGTAACCACCATTCTCCATTGGGACAACTTCAACTGCATTTCCACCATTACTGAGTGACCTTGATCCACCCTCCACTCTGTTATCAATTTTTGTGTCAATGGAATTGGAAGTTGAAAGCAAACCAAGATGATGAGCAACTTGTGGCATGGAATCGTATCTAATTCCATCTGGGGAACAGTAAAAAGGAGAGGTTTTGCAAGTAGTCTCTGAGTATTCAAATTTAACACACCAACCATCTTCCAATACACCTCTGTGTTCAGATATGTAGTCTTTAAGTGCTTTCAAATAAGCTAAATTGTCATTCTGTGTTGCAATATCAAGATTCATGCGTGCAGTTTGTATTGTACTTGTACTGTAGGAAGTGGTTGCACATGGAAATCCATTTGCAACATCTCTAAGACTATGAGTGTTGTTGCAAGAAGTTAAAGTAAAGTTAGTGAAGGGATTGCAATACGTATCCTGCATTCTGGAAACAAAAAAAGATATCGAAAGTTAATTTTACTAAATGTATAATAATATTATCATCCAAGTTTCTTACCTTGAAGAATACTAATTAATAAATGTTCAATTTTGATTTTCACAAAGTTAACATAAACGCTTTCAACTTCACTGGATTCTTTCTATTAGTACTATGCTTGACGAATGTAAGAACAATTAGCATCCGACTACAAAATTTCACATATGGCATTTATGTCTTATCCAAACATTTGTTTACCCTGCCATGACTTTTTACCTTTATGGGTCATGATATGCATCTTTAACTTGATGCCTCAACTTTATAAGAAGTCCCAAAATAGTCGACTGTGATTGAATGTGCATTCAACAACAATTTATATATATAGTATTAAATGTTCAAGGTACAAGACAATGATGTGATCGTTATTAGGATTGTAATAGGAATAAGATAGAACTTTGAAGAATAAAATAGGGAAAGAGTAGATATGTTGTGCATTAAATGTTTGTAGGAGAATAGGGTATCTTATCATTACATGCATATAATATACATGTACATGTAACCAATATATTGAGTTTACAACTTAGAAAACGACCAAGTTCCATAAAAGAAAACCTTATAACACACAAAACCCCAATCGACATTTACTAAGTTGTTTCCAATAGATCACCACTATTGCCACACTGCAAACAAGGTATTCCATACTGGTTGTATCATGTAACCATATTGGTGGCAATTTTTGAACAAGAAAAGTCACACTTCTTTAATATATATACACACACACATAACGAATCACACTTCTTTAATACACACACACATAACAAATCACACTTCTTTAATATATACACACACACACATAACGTGCTTTGTAGCTTGAGATTTGAACCCAAAGCTCTAACAAAAAGAATTTTGGTCCATGGAAACATAATAGTGATTCTTATGGATGAGGGGGTTGATTAGTGAATATTATTATTGTTATCGAATCAAGACATAAGTAGATTCTTTTGGTTTTGCCTATAGAGGTTAACTAAACCTATGGTTAACCAAAAATTAAGGTTAGCTTCATGGATTCAAAAAATTTACATTTCATCAAACCATGAACAATCCTAATGAGTGCACATGATATTACCTATGATTCTATAAGTGGATCATCCGCACAACACAAGGCATCACCACTTTTCCTCAAATTTACTTATAAATCTAAAGACAACAATGGGATTAACATTTAACATAACCCTTTGATAATGTAATTTATATGAATCTTGATGCTCCCTTAAAAGTGTGAGAGGTACAAATCCACTAGCAAGTTGGAGCCTCATTACTTAGATCGGAAATGGAAAATCTACCAATCATAGTTAACCCCACATAGTTTACCAGCTTCCTCACAATACCCAAAGTTATGTACTTCTCAACTTGAAGCTTTTAATACATGCAAAGAACGTATAACCCTATTGGACGTGTGTTAGTACACCCTAATATGTGTCATTTCTAGAATAAGAAAATCCATTAGTTTTCACTTCCTATATCTGTGGGGGGATTCAAAAGTTGTTTGTTTCCTAAGATATTTAAAGGTAAATCACATAACAATAAACATTTATGACCAAATATATATGTTTAGATAGGCAATTGCTAAAACTTAAATCCAGATTTAGGGAAATGGCACAAAGTTTTTAACTTTACGTATCCTTCAATTTTTGGATCACTATTTCATCATAAACATGTTTTTCTTACCACCATTAACAGATTATAGATCATTCAGACACACATAGAAACCCAGACATTGTTAAAAAAGACAAACTTGAATCATAGTAACTAGACCGATTCCATTTCCTGAATCACAATTTCACTAGAACATATTTTTGTCATTGTCGGAAAAGCAAGCACACATTGTAGATCATTCTAGAACACAAAGAAAACCATGAAAACCTCGGTAAAAGCAAGCAGACATTGTTAAAAATAAATTTGAGTCGTATCACTAAAAAACTACGCATATGCATCCTCCAATTGAAAAGTTTAAAAGATGAATGGATGATCATACTTGGGGGCACTGTTTGTGAAGGCTAACTCCGAATTTACCCAAAACCCTGCGTCATCACCTTCAACCTCACGCGGTGGAGAGACATTCATGTCCACAAGCCCTAAATCGCCACCACTAGTAGCGGATACAGTTCGTCGCAACCTCTTCTCTCTGTTGCATTCCATCAAACACTCGGAGCACGTCCACTCCCTTCCCCCTAGTCTCCGCCTAAAACACTCTACTTGAAAATGTTTTGCACACTCACAGCATACCACCACCTACCCTTTCTCCTCACAACATAAGCCACACCGGTGATCCGCCGTAAACCCGTCGCCATTACCACCCTCAGCTTCTTCTCGGGGAGAAGGGAGTGAGTGGGGTTTCGTTCAAATCGAGCTCCAACGCCACTGTATGGGCACTGTTTCCGGGTACGGGTGAACTACCCGGATCCGGTTTTTCCATTTAAAAAGTAAGATTACTTTACTATATATTTTTTATTTTTTATTTTTTATTTTAAAAACACTCAAATTAATTCAACTCGACCTTAAATCAACTTTGAATCAAAAGAAAAAATCTTTGATTTTATGAGAGATTTTATTGAAAAATGAAAACTCAAGTGAGGTTTTTAGGAAAAAAAATGACTTAGGAACATAAAAAATTTGAAAAATGATTGAAATTTTACGATATTTAATCATAGAAAATGAATTGAAGTTTTATGATTATCAAAGACTAAAAATACAAGTTTTATCATAGCTAAAAATATAACTGAACCCCTAATAGACTTAGCAAAAAAGCCTTGTAGAAAGTTTTAGAATTTCGAAAAAAAAAAACAAAGAAAGAAAGAAATAAGTTTTATAAATTTTAAGTAGAACCCGTATTTGTTTTGAAATATTAAGAAGATATTGATAAATTAAACGGTAGATGTGATGAACTGATTATAACACTAACAAAGATTGAAGTAGAGTTATAGAAAATAAATAGAAACAAACTTATTTGTATATATGTAACTTAAGTCGATGTTGAATTGGCCGAGGCTTTGAATGACTTTGGAAATATTGCAAGCCTCTCTTTTGCTATGTTAACGGAAATGTTTCTAAAAAGCCTCTGTTTGCTTTGTTATCTTTCATGTTTCTCGCTTCCTCTTTAGTTACTTGCTAATGGTCGGCTGGTTTTAATATATTATTATTCGCCGTTTCCTATATATATATATATATATATATATATATATATATATATATATATATATATATATATATATAATATATATATATATATGGCTACGTTATAATGTGGACGGACAACTATTGTGTGAACAATACTATTCTATGAAAATTACTGAAAGAATAAGTTGTTTACTAATGTGAATATGTTCAACCACACACATTTATTGTTATTTCCATGCATTCTCACTAATTTTTATTCATTTTTGTACTCACGCATTGTTTTTCACTCAATTTCATTCTTACAGAATATGACTCAATAAACATCTTGAGAACATTCTGACAGAACGAAAATAATAATAAAAAGTCTATAATAACCTTATAGACGATTTAATTGGTGAGAATGCGTGATAATGTCAATAGTTATGTAAGATTGAACGTGTTCACATTATCAAACAACATATTTTCTTTGTCATTCTCACAGAATAGCATTGTCCACACGTCCGCACAATAGATGTCAATCCACATTTGAACCTAGCTATCTCTCTCTCAATCCACAATAGATGTCAATCCACACTAGATTTGCCCGGCCCGGGCCTGCAGTCTACCCGGTCCGCCCAGGGTGTCTTGGCCTACTACACACAGCAGGACCTGTCTCAACCCTTTCCCCCAAACCAACACACATGTGCACATACATATGAACAATTAAACATGCAGATCTAACAGATCACT